GTTTTAGTCAAGATTTGATCAGCATTGAATTCATAGATAATGTTTAATAGGATACATGATTGTCTATTGCGACTGCTTTTGCGATGTTAATAATGTAATGTGGATCTTTAAGATTTGAGCTATTATTTAAGTTACTATTCTGCTAAAGTCTTACACCTCACTGACCTATTCCGGATTTTTTCTCTCGGATTTTCCTAGCAAACCCAGGAGAACAATTTTGTTTTCTTGTTTTTTAAACTTCGAAAATTAGCGCAACAGGTTTACAACTCTATTATGAATGGTACCTAGCGCGCCTTGAAGCTATACAGATAAAAGTTTGCACAGGTGGATAAACTTTGGGAAAGCACAACACATTTGCCAATTTCTGTATATGGAATACAACAAACTATTAAGTCGATTGGCCTTTATCTAGAATTTTAAAACTTCTTTTGCAATACGCGCTTTGACTCTGTAGTTAAATATTATAGTTCTTGATACTTTGAACCATAATAACGGCCAGATAGCCCAACTTTGTAACTGCTCCTGATGACATATTTAAGTATGTTACGAGCAATTACTGCCTAATGCAATATGAAAAACTTAAAAAGAAATGACAGCCATCAGCCCGAAGAATTAGTAAACAAACCAGCGTTGGTTTGTTGGTTGGTAAAAAAGGCAGCCTTTAAACAATTCCATGTTTACAAACTTCATGACCGCTTATTGAATGTTAACATATTTGTCAACAAGTATTTTTGTCTGTAACAATCCTCAAATAAGTTTTCTTTCTTATAAAAAGATGTTTGACTTACAAGTCCAAATGATATCTCTCTGAATCAAACAAAATTGTTTTCTTCCCGTGAAATACACAACTTTTACGAATGGCGAAACATTACACAAAGCCTGTAAATTCGCTGTAAGTAACGGAAATAAGGTCAGATGGTGTGACTCTTTCTTCTGCTAGAATTGTTTGCTTTTATTATTAAAACAAGTGATAATTCATATTTTCTTTTAAGAAAGGAATAATAACATCAATTACCAAACGGTAATTGTCGAACTTATTGTTCAGCTCAAGACTTCTGTATTTTATAAGAAATTCGGCTAAAATGAGGCTACCAATGGGGAAAACAGATTTTAATATTAAAGGTAATATTAAGGAAATTTCATTTAAACTTGTTTTTAAGCATGGAATAAAACAAGATTGCATTTGAGAAAAATGCTATGCCACCGCATTAATACAACACTAAATAGTAGTGTAGGAACAGATTTTTTTGTTTCTATACAATTTTGAAGATTGTCATAATGCATAGATCCCTGACCAATCTTATTCTTATTATGAGATTAGTGGTTAAATCTGTTGTTAACTCAATAAAAGATCAGAGTAGGAATATATCAATGCACTCGAGTCTAGTGAATTTGGTGGTGAAGGTCATATTTCACACAGCCTAAATTTCATGACTACATCAAAGGACAACACAGTAAGACACTTTGTCAAAATCTAGGTCAGCTGAAATCAAAGTTCACTTTACATCTTAATGATTTAATCTGTGCACATGGTTCAAATTTCATAGCTGTACATCAAACGACAAGAAAGTAGGTCACATCATCAAAATCTAGGTCACCTGATATCAAAGTTCAATTTTACAACTAAAACTGTGCACATGGTCAAAATTTCATCGCTGTACATCAAAGGACAAGAAAGTAGGTCACTGTCCCATTGGGCAAGGCAAAATTTTGGACCCAAGGGTTTAATTCAAAACAATCTTGATACAGTCCACCAAACAACATTTCAAGTCAAATATCTAAGCTGTAGCTTATGTACATAATGAAAATCAACGACACCCGGGGCAAAACCAATTATGACCCAGGGCTATAATTTGAACAATCTGGGTAAAGGTTCACTTTGCAAAGTCTCATGCCATATATTTAACCTCTAGCCTTTGTCAATTCAGAGAAGAAGATTTTTTCAATTCAGAGAAGAAGATTTTTTAAAGTTATTACTTTATACATATAAGGAAAACTATCGCCTCTTGGGCAGGGCAATCTTAACACTAGGGGCATCATTAAAACAACTTTAGTACAGGACCCATAGATGATATTATATACCAACTATCAAAGCTCTAAGCCTTGTTCCTTCAGACAAGAAGATTTTTTTAATTTTTTACTATATGTACATAGTGAAAATCAATGACCCCTGGGGGGTGGGGCCAATTTTGACCCCAGGGCTATAATTTGTACAACCTTGCAGGAGGTTCACTACATAATGTTTCATGCAAAATATCTTAACTCTTGTCTTTGTAAATTTAGAGAAGAGGATTTTTTAAGTTTTTACTATATACATATAAGGAAAACCTATGGCCCCTTGGGCGAGCAAATTTTGACACTAGAGGCAAAATTTGAACAACTTTGGTAGCGTACCTAAAGATGATATCATTTAACAAATATTAAAGCTCTAAGCCTTGTACCTTCAGACAATAAGATTTTTTGATTTTTTACTATATGTATATATTGAAAATCAATGACCCCCGGGGTGGGGCAATTTTGACCCCAGGGCTCTAATTTGAACAATCTTGCTAGAAGTTTACTTCACAATGTTTCATGCAAAATATCTAACCTCTAGCATTTGTCAATTGCTAGAAGAAACTTTTTTACTATAAGGAAAACCAATGACCCCCAGGGCGGGCCGATTTTGACCCCAGGGCTATATTTGAACAATCTGGGTAGAGGTCTACCAGACAATGCCTTATGCAAAATATCTAAGCTCTAGGCCTTTTGGGTCTTTACAAGAAGGTATTTTAAGTTTTTACATTATGTACATAAAGTGAAAATCAATGACCCTCGGGGCGGGGCCAATTTTGACCCCAGGGCTATAATTTGAACAATCTTGGTTAGGGTGTACCAGACAATGCCTTATGTAAAATATCTAAGCTCTAGGCCTTTTGGTCTTTACAAGAAGGTATTTTAAGTTTTTATTATATCTACATATAGTGAAAATTAATGACCCCCGGGCGCGCCGATTTTGACCCCAGGGCTATAATTTGAACAATCTTGGTAGAGGTCTACCAGACAATGCCTTATGCAAAATATCTAAGCTCTAGGCCTTTTGGGTATTTTCCAAGAAGATTTTTTAAGTTTTTACTATATGTACATAAAGTGAAAATCAATGACCCTCGGGGCGGGGCCAATTTTGACCCCAGGGCTATAATTTGAACAATCTTGGTTAGGGTGTACCAGACAATGCCTTATGTAAAATATCTAAGCTCTAGGCCTTTTGGGTCTTTACAAGAAGGTATTTTAAGTTTTTATTATATCTACATATAGTGAAAATTAATAACCCCCGGGGCGGCGCCGATTTTGACCCCAGGGCTATAATTTGAACAATCTTGGTAGAGGTCTACCAGACAATGCCTTATGCAAAATATCTAAGCTCTAGGCCTTTTGGGTATTTCCAAGAAGATTTTTTAAATTTAGTCTTATAATTCCTTTTGGTTGCCATGGCAACCAGATTTCTGCATGGAATGAAATTCTTTGAACAACTTTGGAAGCCCTTCACCCAAGGATCAATCCTGCCAAGTTTGGTTGAAATTGGACTAGTGGTTTTTCACAAGAAGATTTTTTAAGTTCACTATATAATCTATATAACACACACACACACAAACAAACACACACACAGGTGAATCGCTATATGCCACCGCATCGCAGATGCTGCGGTGGCATAAAAAGTAAATTTGTTTGTAATTGTTGTGTAAGATTTAATTTTATTTCAAATATCCTCTATATACTCGTATACTAACAAAGTATATGTCTGATTTCTGCCATTTTCATTCATTTTATTGCGGTTGAAGGGGCAACAACGTAACAGAGTGACAAAACGAGAGACATATTTTTGTCCCCGTGGCTATTTCGTTTCGTCGTAATACCGTGACGGAGCCTAAAGAAAATAATAAAAAAAAGACTATGAGAAAGCTGATACAATATTTTATGCAGCATAAAACATCTTTTTTTGTTGACCCATATTTGCCGTATTTTTGTCTTATGTTAAGGCGTGTTATCTTATTGTCATCTGTGCATCCATCAAATGCCTTTCTTTAATTATATTATATGTTTCGAGTTGTCGCAGTTGAAAGGCGTGTTAACGTCACAACAACAAAGCATAAAAGAAAATAAACGCTCGTTTATAACAAATATAAGAGCAGTGCATTAATGTGGTACACCCCCTAATATAGGCAAACATTCTCAAGCGCTTAAATGTAAGGTTAAACATAAGTAATGTTTATCAATATGCAAACTATGATTAAATCAAATATTTGTACAGCTTTTAAAATAAATGAGAAGTTTAATGTTTCTTAGAAGAAAAGTACGCACGTGTGATTATAACGCAACGAAGTTATAATCACATGACTAAGGATAGTGTCATGATCATATATTTAATAAAACATTCTTGAATCATAAATAAGGTTTTTTCCTTAATCGAATCCGTATCTGGTGGCATTATTTTTATGGATGTTCTAACCTTACATTTAAGCGCTTGAGAATATATGTCAGCATTAGAGGAAGTGACACTCCCATGCACCACAGCGTATACCAACATTACCAACTTTAACAATGTCCCACTTGTAACATGAAATGAATCTGTCATTTTTATTGTTGTTTAGTGAAAACATGAACCTGTGTGCGAAATTCAAAGTCGATGTGATGTCATCGATTTGTGTCACTGATAAAATCTAAAATAAGACCTAAATCATCCTTAAACTATCTTGAGCACTTTATTTAAATGCAACAAATCAAACATTTGTAACTTTTTGGTTTAACGAAATCTTGTCAATACATATCCAAGTAAATGATAAGCAAAAAGTTCTCCCAAAGATTATACTATTGGACGGAAAAATATGGTACATAATATAAAGTTTATAATAAGTAATTAAGTAATTTGGAGCTACTTTATGGCCAAACGTTTGATTATCACGGCACAAGTCCCAACCGTGTGATCGTAACGCCGCCGCGTAATAATCACACACGTGGTTATATTACCACGCGTGTGATAATTACACAACACGGATTTATATTTCAACACAAAACTAGACTTTTAACAAATGCAAAATACATCATAGAATGAACAAATCAGTTAGATAATAAGATGCCTTTTACTTACTGTTGATATCATAGATAAATAAAACAAATGTGTGTATGGTTATTTAATGAATAGAATGACTAAACCATTATCTTATTTTATACAACTAAATTTATATACTTGATATGTCATTCAAAAGTACCTGAACTGATCATCGTGTAAAAATATATGTGTTCCAGTGTTGCCATACCACGTGACCGCTAGGATACAGAACATGCGCATCGTTTGCATGCCAGATTCAGTTACGTTTTATCACCATATTTTGTGTACTTTACTGTTATTTACGAAATAAGCAGTACCAGCAATTGTTCAAGCATCAAAGGTATATCAAAACTCAGATAACTCCTCAGAATTAGAATATAGTTTTTTATAGTTGTAGAGGGAAATGGAAGGCATTTGAAAGCCACAACACTTGAAAGTCCCATATTCGTTCGTAGTGTTTCACGGATATATATAATAAGTTTTTAAGTTAACTTTTCTATATGTGTATCAAACTATTGCATTTCTAATAATTATCTACTATCTCCATCATAAGATGTTCAGGAACACGCTTCATTTATAATTGATACAGTTCTTGTTTTTCCGAAGTTTTCCAATGTCCATGTATCTAAATATATTTCAATAAATATCCTTTTTATAGATGATTGTATTTGTTTTAAAATGAGAACTCTGCGGCATCTTCTGTAAACCATCATGGTACTTCTAATATTTTATATTGATAACATCATCATATTTAAAAAAGGAAACAATTGAGAAACATTGTGACACCATGGCAGATAAGTTTCAACTCATATACATTCATATTAAAACAAGGATAATGGTATACAAGTTAGGTTAGAAATAAATGTGTTGCATTGCACCCAGCGTTATGTAACATATATAAAAAACAAACAAGATCAGAATAAAAACGAAGTGTTCTGTGTCAATCAAGAACAAGCGTGTTCAGTGTTATAAACAGCATAGACATGTACCAGATCAAAGGAATGGTGACAGTAAATCTTTTTATAACACTTGGTTTTTTATATTTTTATATGATAAATTGTAGGAAAAAAACCTGTTTATGGTTTACGAATGACTGCTCCAGTGGTGCAAGTTATTTATAAAAAATGTGTACTCGAACATTAAGGCTAGTTCTGATAGTTATACTGCTAATAACTTGTACAATTGCAGATACTCTGCTTGTGTTCCGTACACACAATTCAACACACTAGTATTGTCATATTGACAGTCTGCATTAGCAAATCATTACATTTTAACAAGATCTATCTACATAGAAAAAAAATGCACAAATGATTCAATGGATAATTTTTGTTCTGACAATTTTTTGTTTGTTATTCTTAGATTACCTTTTTATGCCCAATATTGTCACTTTTTGCCTTTGTGTGCGATGCTCGAGTCAATAGACCAATAATAATTGTATAGACGCGATTTTCAAACCCTTTGCCTCGTCAATAGAAAATTTGATCTTCAAGTTAAGAAAACTCTTAATCGGTGTTTTACCAGTAATTTATTGTATTATGTATAATCTCATTTTGATCCCTCTGTATAAGGAGAAAACCACAAAAAATACTTTGTTTTTGAGTTTTCGATTTGATTTAATTTCATGGTAAGAATTCAAATAGTAATGTTTATAAGTATAGAGCATACGATGACAACATTTCGATTTGAACAAATCATTTATATTTCAGAACAAAAAGTAATGATGAGTGACTTGAGATGTTTAGATCACTTTCTATGGTCAGATCAATCTAAAGGAAGACATCCGTCGAGCGAGAATGCTAAATTTATAGACAAGTTAGTACATTGAATTTTTAATTATTCTTATTTTATACGTATGAACCTGCATATGATGGTAAGTATATCATTGATGCTTTGCTGATTTTCATGGACAAAATTATAAGAGACCAAACAAGAAATGCAGTTTAATATTCTTATTCGAGGGTTGAATGATGAGTTCGCAGACGAAGTTGCTTTATTAAGGCGAAATGAAAATACTGATAAAAAAATTTATGTGACCTTTATATGGCATAAGTAAAACGCAAAAAGCATAACTTAATTAATGTTTTAGATCACTGATCTAGAGCATTGCTACTTTCGCCTAAAAGCGAGTGATCATGAGTTCGAATCAAAACTCACTGGGATTTTTTCTGATCCATTTGGATTTTCTGTTGCTAAATGAAATGGTCAGCGCATCTGTACGCGAACACAGACAGTCCTGGAATAAACCATGTATAACTGATAAATATCTGTATCTCATATTTTTCAGGTATATTGAGGCTGGAAAAGGAAAGGAAGTTGTCAAACACATAACTGACTTGAGTTTGTGTGGTAGAACACCGCGACAGAACTATTTGATATTTGCACTTGCCATTTGTGCTATATCTAAAGATCATGACACAAAGAAACAAGCGTATGAAAAACTCACCACTATATGCCGTATTCCAACTCATTTATTTTTGTTTGTAAGTTACTGTAAACAAGAAAGCTTGAAAAGATATCAGTCAAAAGGCTGGGGTAGAGCTCGTCGTAGAGCTATTATTAATTGGTACAAAAATCAAGCGAAAGATCCCGAAAGTTTTGCTAGACTTCTGACAAAATATAAATCAAAGACAAGAATGGTGCAAACTGACGGTATGGCAGAACAGAAGACAGACGAAAATACAATTGAAACAAAAACAGACAAGAAGAAAAAGAGTACCAAGACAAAAAAGAGACCCGGAAAAACGAAGACAGAAGAACAAAAAATGATAACGAAGACCAAAGAGACAACGGCAGAAACGAAGAATGAAGAAAGCATACAGAAAATTGAAAAAGAAAATAATACGGAGGACAAGAAGGCAGATATTACAGAAGAAAAGAAACCAGAAGAGAAAACGAATACATGTGATACAAATGCAATAGTAAAGGCAAATGAAACCAAGACAAACGAAAAGACAAATAAAGCAAAGGCAGAAAACAAAGGAGCAGGGACAATTGATAATTCACAGGAAACAAGGACAGGACAGAAGGAAGCAGAATCGAAGATAATAATAACTACAGAGGACTCGATGACAAAGGGAACAAAACAAAAGGAAAAAAAAACAGAAGAGAAAACAGAGAAAACGAGGACAGAAGTAACCACACAGGAACCGAAGAAAGAAGAGAACACAGAGAAAATAAAGAAAGAAATAACTAAGACAAAGCAAAACACAGGAAAAACGACACAGGATACGAAGAGAGATAAAGCAAATGATATAAAGAAAGGAGAGAAGACAGAAAAAGCGAAATCAAAAGATAAAATAGAGCAAACTAAAATAGATGAAAGCACGCAGGAAACAAAACAAAACAAAATCACAGAAAGAACGGATACAAAGAAAACAAAGACAAAAGAGAGCGAAAATGAAATGGAAATAGACGCAGAGATAAAGAACACTTTAGAGGATAAGAAAAAAATAAAGAAGACAGAAGAATCATGGACAGAGGCAACACATATAGAGGAATCACTGGCAGAGAGAATGAAAAGAGAGAAAACGAAAACAGATGAAATAAAAATAGAAACAAATTTGGATAAAACAAAGACAGAAGAGAAGAAGATGGAGAAAACGAAAACAGTGGAAAAGGGAAGAAAGACAAACAGTGGAAAGAAGACAGGAAAGAGAAAAGAAAAATGGTCACATGCAAAACTGTTTAAAATGGCGAGACCAAAGTTCAAAGACGATGATGATATGAAAGTCGTTAAACAATATATATTGTTTGGCTTTGAAAAAGCAAACACATTTGCAAGAGATCACGAAATACACAGTGAATTCATTTCCAAATTCTTGTCCTTCATAGAAGTTGCAGAGAAGGCGAAAAGGTGCACAGAAAAGGATCAGCTCGTGGCGCTTATAAAGAAACATAAGCTAGAACGAGAGCACATAACCACACAAATGATGAAAAAACCCGAAGTATGTGAAGCGATAATCGTCAATATGAAAGTAGGTGCAGTTATACGCAATCTCACTGTGATGGCTTCTAAAGGTATTTTTGACAAAAAGCCGGAGGTCATTGAGAAAACAACTACGATCATCTTAAACAAGAATGCGCTAATTAATGAAAGAGTACATCCAATCAACATAATAATTGCTTTACATATGTACGAGAAGGGCACAAACGAAATCAAGACTGAGAAAGACAAGATAGAAAAGGATGGGCATGATTCAACGAAAGCAACTCACAAACAACATATTAATACAGGACAATCGGCAGCGAGCTCAGCAGGACCTCAAACAAAAACAGAAAAGGAAAAAAGACTGAGCACGAATGTTGAGTACCGAAAATGGGAAGTAAACGCACGAATCAAGGAAGCGCTAAACTTGGCTTTTAGTCGGCATATAACTGATGCAGTAAAAGCTACTGATAAACGGTTTTTACTTGCAATTTCTAAAAGTAAAGATATGTTAAAAAATTGTAGAGGTTGTCCCGCAATGACATGCCAACACGTCGCAGCTGCCATGATTATGCTTACAATTAACGTTGAAAACCATTTCAAAATTGTTGCATTCTCGGGCGAGAATGAGACAACGGAAGAAATTGATATATCAAACAACGAGAAAAAATCATTAAATGACATTTGTGAGAAAATAGAAAAAATCGAAACTAATGGCAGCGAAGCAGATCCATCTGTTCCGATACGCTGGGCCAATAAAAAGAAAAAGAAAATTGATGTTTTTATTCTGTATGCCGGCTATTTGAAAACAGATTGGCATCGCACAACAGAGACGACTCTGAAGAAATATCGGAAGGTAAAACCTAATGCTAGGGTAATCGTTATCGGAATGCTACGTAATGACACATCCAGCGCAGTTGAGAAGGAAAATCGGTTTATTCGTTACATTGTTGGTTTCGACAAAAAGGTTCCAATGTTGATACAAGAATTTGTTCAGGAAGATTTATAATTGCAAGGAGACTAATACAACTGTTACAGCTGATGTGTTAAGAAAAGTATATACATAAACGTAAAACGCAGAGCCTAATGCTCTTAATTATGGATATCTATTTCAAAGTTCTTACAAAACATGTTATGAAGATAGATTATATAGCTTACCAAAGGAAATGAAGATATACTAAAACAGAAGACATCGTGTGTAGACATTTTTACTCCATGACTTAAGAAGTTTGATTTTGATGTTTATCACAAAAATGATGGAAACGCATGTTATTTTAAAAAATATCTTGGAGATAATCCTTTTCAATAAATGTCTATTATTTTTCTTGAATGGAAAGGTCTCCATTATTTGTAAGACCTGTAACATGTTTGTATACTAAAGTCCAATCATCTGTGACAAAGAAATAAAGACATTAAACTGCAACGCAATAATTTCAAGTACTTCTTTCATTATCTGATTATTTCCAGTCTGCAAAATACCCATGCTCTGAAAAAGGACATTTATCGGCAAGAATCACAAAATTGATATATCAAATTAAAACAATTGCATATTAGCCAACTAGAGAAAAAGAAAGTACATGAACTCGTATATCATTCTATGCATATCGCAATTTGAATCTCAAAAACAAAAATTTTCAAAAAAAAAATGATAATGCACACAGAAATGAAGAAGTGTATTTTAAGTGGGAAAAAGTCCTCGTATATGTCAATTCAAGAAAGAATAATTGACACTTGGCCCCTTCGCGGCCTCGTCCCTATGGTCTGATACTCGGTATTTCTCCCTTATTTAAAACATGCTATTTAGTCTTATGTTCACAAATACTCGTAAATATAGGTATATTTTGATATGTTATATTTCTTTCTTAAATAAATTAAACAAGCTTTATAAGATTAATTCTTGTAAAATAATATATATTTTGTAACATGTAATACATTTTGTATTTGTATATAAATTAACAATTTATTTCAGGTATCAAAAGTACGTTTGAATACCTTATTGGTTTTTCTGATTTTGTCGAGCTATGTTAGTTCATTTTTTCTTCATAAATTTTTTGTTGTTTTTTTCTACTTGTTGTATCTTTTTATTTTTTATACATTTGTCAAAAGACAAATATGTAGGATATATGTCTTTTGTAATCATTGAATTTTAAAAAAGAAAAATGCCAAACTATTTTTTTTGTATCAAAGAAATATGTGTGTATACATGTATGTTCTAAAAAGCGAAAAGCGCATGCGTGCAAGTCATTATTTCTAAACAGGTAAAACTCTTAACTTAATAAGCAGCAAAATATTTGGTTTTCCTACGTTGTTTTCGCTAAAGTAAAATATTCTTGCGTGCTCAAATTGTAGAAGTATTCTTTGTTACAAACCCTTTCTAGACCCGACCATAAAAATTCGAATACAACATTATTTTACTTTTCAAACATGTATATTTTATTTAAACTATTATACTTAATACATGTAGATACCTTTGGAAAGTTGAGTTTTTATAATATTATTGTAAAAGTACTAACTAGTTAGAAATTTAAGTATATTATTAAACATAAATACAGTCAGATACTGTGTTTTCGTTAACACCTTTTGATATTTTGGTCTCACGTTTTTAATTTGCTTCCTTCTAGCACATAACATTTATATGTTACAGAAATTTGGATTTAATTTAATAAATCTTATCAAAACCCCTTAATTGTGTGTCAGAAATCTTAAATGATATATAAATTCGTAGGCGACGAATACAGAAATCAATTGGAATATTTCGTTTAAATATGAGCGTTGGTGTGTCAGACATATTCCAATGGTTGCAGTATATCGGATATTTTGTCTTAACTGCCTTGAATAATTAATCGACATTATATCTCCACATCTTAGAAAAGATAACAATTTCCGAAGGTATCTTGAGGTCTTTCTCCGCCAATGAAGGTGGAATGCGCCATATGACCTATACTGTGTCGGTATGACGCAAACGGGGCCTTCATGAAGATAGATGTGGTTTAGTTCGTTGACTTCCATCCGCTTGCCCCTAACCGCTGTGTGTACGAATTTCGACAGGGATTTAGTTTTATTTTTTGTGAGGTAGATATCAAATTAGCTAACGAAACGTCATCGGCACAACTCAGGTATCCGTATGTGCCTGAAAGAAAATGCAATAGTAACGCTGTGACGTCGCCATAAGTCTTATACTCTGTCGGTGTGACGTAAAATCCAGTTAAACAAACATACAGTGTGACGTACAACCTTATAAATAAGGTTTCTTGTGAATGAATACTAAGATTTTGATAAAGATTCCATACTTGCAAACTTGTAGGAAAATATACATTAAACCCCGGACCCTCGAAATACTGTAACGCAGCTTCCAGTACGAATTTATACCCAAAAATATTGCACTATTCAGAAGGACATGAATAAGTTGTGTCAACAGTATATTGAAAATTACGTTTGAGAAACACATACACACATACCACACTCACACAAGTACATACAAACACGCACGCGCACAACGTGTAGAATGTCCAGGTATTATTGAAGCATTTGCACAAGTGAATTAATCTTTGAGATAAAAGAAGCTTATCTTATTCTAGTAATATGATTTTTAAACTCGTTTGTAATGACAAACACGTTTATAGAAAACGCAACAAAACGATTTATTGCAAAATCAGCAAGTTATTTGGTTTCATACAGTTTTTCTTAATTAAGTGAACTTTTCTATATCAAATATACTATTGCAGATGGAAAATGAACAAGAGAGACAACTGCCTGGAATTGGAAACATAGAACTTCAGGTACAATAATTGTTACCCATATCACCCATATAACATCATAGTAATGAGTTCATCTTTTAGATATAGACATTACTTAGGAAATCAACCTTTTGATGAAAGTTTCCTGAACTTTCTGTTTATTAATAAGGATGTTTCAGGGTGAATTTAGTTTTTAAATTGATAGATTAATAATAATAATAATAGATATAATTATAATAAACATTTCCTGAACTTTCTGTATATTAATAAGGATGTTTTAGGATGAATTTAGTTTTTAAATTGATAGATTAATAACAATAATAATAACAATAAATATATCATAATAATTATAATAAATATAATTATAATAATAATATTATTAAATGTTTAGGACACAGGCAGAAGAACACCAAGGTATTTCAAATATAATATTTTCTGTGATATTTTAAGTTTCAAAAAATGACATTGTCATGAAAGCAGAATTTGTCATTTTCACATATGACATCTTCATACATGTAACTAAGAAGTGGGCATTTTTATAATTTCCTAATTTTTCAATATTCTAGTTATTTTGTTCTGTTACTTAGTACTTTGGAAAAACGAATTAAATCGTAATACTTATTATATTATTATCAATCATTTCATAAAAAACAACATCTGAACAAAATTATACAGGCATAATAAAAAATAATTATAAACCATATACAATAAGTATCACATGTTTAATATAAATGAAAAAAGTACAATGATTTTGAGTATATTTTCAGAAATGAGAATGGAAATACCGCTCTACATGAATTATGTCAGAACTTTACAAAACAGTTGATTACAGATTCAGTTGAACAGTTCAAAAATTTATTTCCACCAAAAAAGGTAATGACAGCTATATGTTGGTGGGTTTAGTAGTTTCCATTCCGGATAACGGCAGAATTCCGTATTGAATTGAAAGGACCACAATTAGGCTACCGCATTGTTCCTAGGCATGTTGTCAAACAATTTATAACTGACTTCATTTTTGAACTGATTACTTCTGTACATGCCAAAGCAGATCGACATTGCGAATGACAAACTCCTTACAGCGGTTAGGTCACACTTTGCTTCTTTAACCACTACCACCACTGAAACCCTCGTGACGATAGTTGTATCATGTGACCAAAGCATGGCGGCCAGTTTTAGAACGCCAACGATCCCATTTTCAACTGGCAGATTTACAATTACATCCTTACCAGATAAAATATGTTCACACACTCAATTTTATTTACATTTTAAAACAAATGCCGGGACAAAATCTTTTGCGCAATCGTTCAATAACTGTCTAACTTCAGCCATTGTTTACTATACATACGGTTCATAGTGCAAATATCTTTCGTTATGTTTACAAAATAATTTGTATACTTATATTTTTTACATTCTTGTACATTAAGTGAAAGAAAACTAAAATGATATTAAGTATTATATTTTAAAATTAAAAGTGTAAAAATGTATTCGGCGCTCTGGCGACCGAATTTACTTGTGGTGGCAGTGGTTTCTGTACTGATCAGTGAAGTAACAGCTGCGGGATGTACTGATCAGGGGAAGTAACTGCTGCAGGGAGTATGTGCGAATGATCGTAAAAAGAATTTAATGATTAATCACAACGACAATGACCTGCACCGTCCAGAAATTGAACCTTGGTCGCCCGATTGACAAACTAACGATATACCTATTGAATTGGCCGGTCGGCTCCATTTAGCCTTGTGCTTAGATACAAAAAATATTTTGTGAAACGTAATCATGAAACAACTGAAGGTCAATATCTTGTATTTTGTCGTCTCCTTTTGTTTTGTTGTATTTAAAATTTTCTCCAATAATAGATTGATTGAAAATAATTTCTTCAGTACTGAGTTTGTTTATTTCAGAACCGTGTAGCCGAACATATAAACCGAACGAAACTATGTCAGTGTAGAATGCATACAAGGAAAGATGAACAGATATGGTTTGACGCGGCAACATCTACAAATAGCGATGGATATAACATACTGGACCTTCTCCTCTTAGGAGAGCGTAATCTTGATGAACGGTAAATAAATGCATGCACTGATTAAGAAGATAATTTATCTCCATTTAAAACATAGCTGTTAGTGTGATTTTGAAACATTTTGTTCTTTTGAATTAAGAAGCACCGTTAGAAAAAAGCAGGACATTTTTATCCTTTTTTTGTAAGTGCGTACCTTGCACATTGGATATAGATCGATAAAAATACACACTTTCGTCATTAACTATATCGGTATTGACAATGAATGTGTAAACAACGTTTTCATCTTAAAAATGTTCATGTGTCGTTCCGTCCTCTAGAAGGTAGCCAATAAGATCAGTATCGGTAAGGAATCGTAACAAAACAAATCCTTCGAAGGTAGCCCAAGCATTGGTCGAGGCTTGAGGTTGTCATCCTAGGCACATTGTTGTCATTCTCAAATGTATTTTAACGCGGTTGATTCAGAAAATGTCCTGAAACGACGTGATTGTATTTCATGCGACTCCTCATCTGGCAGCGCAATGTCAGATAATACACCAGTCTGATTTCAAGAATGATCTGTCATATGTTGCTGTTAAGACTGAAATATCCGTCGCGATATGACCCGCCTATTGGATTGTTCTATCTGAATCGCAAACACAGATGTTTTGTGTGGCATTTTCTACCATATTCTATCATATTTTAAACGTTTGACCTCAATTACAAAAGTTATGCCTTGTATTAATGTAATTTCATTCGTTTCTATTTTCTTACAAAAGCGTATGAATTTATAATGGCGAAATGGCGTCATTGCAAGCAAGCAGTTTCATTCTCAAATACACCAAAATGACGATATATTAACGCGGTTCTGTCACAAAATGTGCTAAAATGACCTCATTATATAGCACGCTACTCATCTGGCACCCCCAAATTTACAGAAACACCAATCTTATATTCAAGGAAGGTAGATTCATTTTGTCAAACATGTGACAACAACTCAGCAAATCAATGTTAACGTGCTGGATTCAAACCTTAATTGCTTAAGTTGTATGCTTTGAATCTGCACTTAATCTAGAATAAGGGTTATCCCTCGAGGATAAAAAAAACTACAACACAATTAATTCAGATTTGGGAATAATAAAAATGTGCAACATCCCGCACATCCCCCTAACATTGGATTGAGAGGTTCTCAAATACATGCTAGTAAGTATAGAGACAATGTATGTCAATTGAATCGTTTCATTGGTCAAAATGATATGCTTTGGTTTCGGAAATAGTAAGAATCACTGGGATATAAATTGAATCGCTTACAGTATCGCTTCGACTTATAACAAAACAATACCTTAAATGTACGTCTCCGTCTTGATTTTATTACAAGAGTATAAAAGCACCCACAATGGCGATAACAGTGCGTATACTACGTGAATGCCCCCTGTAAATGTTTTCACTATAATGCAAGTGTTCTTCTCGTTTAAGTTGGGTATCAGTATCATGACATACAGACTTGTTTTAAAAGAAGTGACACTATATTAATTTTTTATCATTATTTTTTTTTTAGATTTGTGGGAAACATACACAATTTAAAAAATGCAATTTGTAACAAGAAAGTTGAAAGGTAATCGCATACAAAAGGGGTTCAATTGTAATCTAATAGTTTTACATAATACTATATTTCATGATATACATGTATTTTTTAGGAAACAGGTATTGAGTACATTGCTATAGAAAACATGTAACCATTCGTGATTATGCTGTACATGTATCATGTAATAATGCAACCTTTATATCTGTTTGACAAAGTAATAACGTGCATTTGCAGATGTGGTATCAAAATGACGTCTCTGTGCTAGCTTACAAAACTTCCTTTTTATATTTAGTACTTTTAATAACCGATTCAATAGTACAAGAATTAAATTTGTTTAATATTACAATATAACCATTCGAGCCAGTTTATTCATCGAGTCAATCACAAATACCTTATTTTTTGATTTCAGAAAAAAGGTTAAGACTACTGTTCAGTACCTTTTTAAAGAAACAGATATGTTTTATCTGTTGAAGCTTCTTAGAAACAAGCCACGTAGATCTGAAGGAGACACCAATGACAGCAATGTAATTGATTCGCCATTCAGACGACTGTTAAAGCTTTATCCAGGTATTGCAATGACATTTGGTGCCATTTTTGCCCAATAAACCACCCCTTTATTTCGTTTTTGATTTAGTTGGTAGCTGTAAGTAAAGTGGGTTTTTGTAATAAATGTATCTATGTTTGTGAACCTTGAACAATATCATTTGATGGGCGTTTTCTGATTTGATTTTTTCTTTTCAATAATGCATTTATACTTTTTACCAGAAACACTTCCTGATTTGATGGATAGATGTATAGTGAAATGTACAGGAACGACAAATTACTATTTTGAGATCCTAGATGATACATACTTTTTGCATACATGGCCACCAAAAGAAGAATATTACTGCAAATGGTTATACCAATGTACATGGGACCATATTGGTGAAGCAGGTACACTTTTAGGAATATGTTTAATTTATATTCTATTTAATAAGTTTAAATACATTGTCTTCTAAACTGAATTATTAATTTAAAAAGAATCATTTAATTATAACTTCTAACTGGACAAAAATTAAAGTTTGATTTATAAAAAATGTGACGTGAAAACTTTTAAAAAATATTGATTCCATTAAAAAAGAGTGGCATCATGCCATATTGTCCGCGGTCGATACACTATATAAATATTTCTTCTGTATGTTTATAGTTCGTATTATTCTAGTACGGTTTTTTTAAAACAATACAATCAATGCATTCTTAACCACTTGTATTTAAGAATTAAAGCTTTCAATACAAAACGTCACCTTTTAGTTTTATTTACTACGTCACGTCATTTTTTTAGAAAATAGTGAAAAAAAAACATAATGATATATTTTACATAATTTCAGAAAAGGAAGGTCGTGAAGCTTATTCAGATCAATTGTTGCTAATAAAAAGCAACCACCCTGTTATGCTTATGGTAAGAAAGAAAGAAAAACACTTTTGCGTTCAGTACAATAGAAAAATCAAGTACAACATAATCAATTACACTGTACATAGATATATTCATATATGAATGTGTTTTAATAGCATGTTGCATACGAAATAGACAGTCCAGTAACACTAATAGTAAATTATATATGTATTAATCATACATGTTTACTTTACGGGAAGCAGGTAAATATCTGCACACCATGAAATAAAACATAGTAATAAGTAGAAGTCGTTGGACGATGTCATGAAACAGGGCTTTTGACATAACACAGTTAAATTATCAGGAACTTGGAATAAAAAAACATTTAGACATTTAAGGAAAGGTAATAGGTTTAACTGTTTCTAAAATAATAAATCACTTCTGAAATCACTCGGTTAAATGCATGAACAGTTCAAATCTTGCAGAGAAACAAATAATATCCTCTTTAGTATTGATTATTCAGTACATTTAACAAGAAAACAGTACATTTAATTCAAACATTTTATGCATTTAAAACCACCATGTAACATTGGTTGAGCTTATTGATGGTTAATGATAGAATAAATATTTGACTATCTCTACTCTTTGATGGACAAATTATGTCTCGATAACAAGTACAGTCATGTAAAAAAAATATTTTACAGAGCTGAGATTTAAAGGTTTTTTCAAAACATCCTTATCAATTGTAACGCATTTGCCTATATGAATATAATTATTCTACATTACAACGAATTTTTATATTCATATTCATGATGATTTTGGCTCTCCCCGTGTATTGCAAACGTAAAGCAACACTACGTGTCAAAACCACATCACCTATTCGAACCCGCTTGTCGCCTCGGGGCTCAAAGATATTCTTATACAACTTAGTTTATTTTTCATGTAATGCCTTTGCAAGAACAAGTGTTTTGGTGCGAAGTGATAATATTAAATGGTATCGTTTTATCATCATGCGTTACGCATATATCGTTAACATAGCAAAATATATACAACATTTTGAGCATGCAGCAGTACGTTAGCGGTAAACGTGACTTTTAGTCCGTGTTACTATTTGAATTAAGGAAAGAAATGATTACGGGTGCACCTATTTGTATGAAATAGTTGTAAGCTTACATCTGTTTCATATACATCAAATAACAGTTTGAAAATATTATTATGTATCTCGGTGACGTCTTTCAGAAAGCAAACAATACTTTATAATTGATATAGTACATTAATTTATTACTTTCAAACAATTTTCCTTCTTCATTTAATATAGATTGTATCAAACATGTCTTCCTTCTATTTTAGCTGAAACACAAAAGGGATGAGAAAGATCCCCAAAAAAAGAAAATTTACAAGCAGCTTTTAGCCCATAAGCTTGTTACAGCTCTAAGAAGACATAAATGGTTCCATATTGGCAGAAAATTTCACATCTTAAGCTTGATCCTGTATATCCTGTTTCTAAGTATCCTGACAACGTTTGTGGTCGAAATCAACTCTTTAAACATTGGCTTTCCGTAAGTAAAAAATAATGATATTAGTGATTTAAAGGAATGATGGTTTTTAAGAATAAAACTGTCTGAAAAAGATTATGTTGGTGATTAAATAAATCTGAGTACAGGCAACGTGTAAAATGTAAAAAATGTGTTTTTGTCTTTTATCGACTACCTACTAACTGAATTCGATTAATTCCGAATGTTACAAATTTAAACATAAAAAAAAAAAAAAAAAAAAAAAAAAAAAATACATCTCTGCCTAATTTTGGTGAAATCTTAAATAAATATTGGATCTATTACTTTTGTCTGATAAGGTAAGCGTTAAAAATATACATACCAAGTTCAAACCTATTTTAGCATATAGACGTCCTAAAAACATTCGAGATTATCTTATGAGAAGTGCTTTACTTGATCGCACATTTTTATCTAGCCAATGTTTACGAAGTAGATGTTCACATTGTAACAATATAATTGTTGGTTCCCAATTTAATAGCAGCATAACAGGTAGTTCTTTTGATTTACACAATGATGTTAATTGTACTACGCGTAATGTAATTTACCTCATTACATGTAAAGGCTGTAAAAAGCAATACGTAGGTCAGACTAATCAAAATGTATCATGCAGAATGAATAAACATAGATTTGATATAAGAAATTGTGACGTTAATCCAGTTTAACATGTTGCGATCCATTTCGGATCAAACGATAATAAGTGTTCATTGTCAGATTTTTCATTTTTACCTATAGAAATTATAGACAACAACATGGACCGGTTATGTAAAGAATCTTTTTGGATCCATAAATTAAATACTATGATTCCAAATGGACTAAATAATAAAGAATGGTTTGATTTATAATAGGTTACATGAATATTAATATGTTTGTCTATTATCTTATTTTTATTAACACTGTTATCACTGTTGATCCATTTTAATTCATGTACCAGCTTTATTTATAGCATAAATATTTGTTTCTACATGTTATCATAGTTTTGCCGCTAAACGCCATAACGTTTTTCGCGCGTTTACCGCGTGTTCCGTTATGACGTCGCTTCCGGTAATTTTATTATGTTTTGCACTGATGAAGGCATATAGCCGAAACGTTTGCAATTTAATTAAATTACTAAATGTTCGTGTTTGTGTGGCTTGTCTGATTATAAATTTAAACATAGTAATTCTAAAGTTGTCTTGTATTTCTTTAGAGAGACAAGCAATATATCTACAACTTCACACACCACAGGTTATATATATTCAACTGTGTGCACTACAACATATGTATGCAAGAACAGCTCAGTGATTTGCAACAGCACGACCGATTGTTATAATACAAGTTCCTATAATGTGACAACCACGCAACCACTCATAACATTGACACATGTAAAACGTATGGAAATTATCCATCGATTACAGGCCTGCAAGTAGCTGTTATTTTTCTGGCAACACTCCTGCTTTTAAAAGAGGTATACGAAACATTTACAACAATTTTAAGGTTTTTACTTGTAGATCAATGTAACTATCTTTCCAGCTTACCTGCACACAACTTACTAAGAGGTAAGTTTATCATATGACACTGCTTCCATCATGCGTCATGCGTCATTGAAGGTGTCAAAATTGTCTTAAAACAACATCTCCTCCTTAACCATACCAGGGACTCCCAAAATAACCATTGATTTCAAAGGAATCATGGAGTAGTACCCAGTTATTTTTAGTATCAATGGCAATCCTAAGCAACCGAGGGAATCCATAGAAAATAATACATTCCGGATCCCTTAGAAATCGGTGACATGAACAGCAACCAGTAACTTCCACAGAAACATTGAATATCCATATTGAGTTGTGACTTAAAAGCACATTGACTTTTCCTAGATTTAAACATATGTATTTATTTTACTTTTTAAAGAAATCATTGACATTTCATAGCAACAATTGAAATTCAAAACAACAAGTTACTTTTTATAGCAACTATTGACTTCAATCGCAGTCATTGACTTTCTAGAGAAACCACTACTTTTCATAGCAGCCATTTATATTCAATGACTAATTTTGACTTCTCATTGCAACCACTAGTTTCAATATTAATCAGTGTTTTTCAAAGCAACCATTGCATTTTAAGTTACTTTAAAACTTTCATATGAGTTAAAAAGCAACCAGTGGATTTTCTAAGGAACCACTAGCTTCAATAGAAACGAGTGACTTTAATATCAGCCATAGACTTTCAGAAGATTGATTATATTTGTAATCTTTCACATTCATAAGTTAGCAGTGATTTTACAAGCATTGACAATCTATTGTCACCAGTAAAATGCATTTCAACCAGTGACATACCTAAGCGTATAGTGATTTCCATAACAACCAGTGACTTTCAGACCAAACTTTGACTTTCTTCTTTGCATTGATTTTCAATACAAAAGCAGAAGTTTTCAAAAAGAAGCCAGTAGCTTTCAACTGAAAGCAACCACTGTTTTTTTTTCATCTTTGCGTCATATGATTTTGATTTTTGACTTTTGGAATTGGTGATGATCTCAAAGTGATTTGCAAAGCAGCCGGTGACTTTCAAGGAATCTTAAATCTTGTGAAGCAACCAGAGACTTCTAAAATCACTGCTTTTTCAACCAGTTACATAATTACACATCCACCTTTTCAGAAACTTATATGAACTTTTTGATTTTGTTAAAAATTCAGACTTTTCAGACTTTTTAAATGCTATCTGTTTATTATTTCGAACATTCATTGTTTCTTGTTATCACGGACAATTTTAATCAGGACCATTTTGACCATTGACGTGTCTTACAGTTAAAGCAAGTCTTTCTATCACTGTTAGCACATTTACTTTGATTCAATATATTTTACTCCATCTGCAATCACGTATAGAGAATCGTTTGGGTATGGGAAGCATTTCCTATATTACAGGTCAAATAAAGTTGGTCTTTTTTTACCAAGCTGCCAAACCTTAATAACACTACGTATAGTGTGTCGTATTTAAAACTTTACATATCTGCTTTATATGAAGTCAAAACATGTTAATAAATATTTACAAAATTACTGTGTAGCAGTTATCATTATTTTCAAATATCAATTTTGAGCATAGTATATTCTGTAGGCTTTTAGCCAAAACTTAGGAATTATAAAGACAAAGAAATATCCGTTATCACGTCCTCAAGTATATTTTGAGAAAAAATATTAATAACATTGTCGCTTACTTGTTGCTTTAAACAGGAAGATAAGACTGCACAAATCGAAAAATGAATTTAATAGATGTCAAAAGGTTACTTAAAGATCTCATTATCCCTCACCAAACCGAGTCTTCATGTTATTTTGTTGTGATTAATGCTTCCGCGGGATCACACTTTTTCCAGATTTTTAGCTATTGTTTTGATATTATAATTACTGTTTACTTTTAATTCACTATAGATCAGATGTTAATGCATACGTTTGAAAATAAAGTAATGAATAATTTTTTATCGATTTCCACAGATATACCTTATTGCCATTGTATTTGGTCGTGCATACTTCAAACTACTGAAAAACGATATGAAATTGATAACTCCTATTACAGCAATAGCTTTTGTCATAAATCTCTCGGAGTGCGAACACACATCATACAGAGAGGTATGCATGCACGTTTTATTTGTATAAACTTCACAATTTGCTCTTTACACATTCTCAATAAAATATAAGGTCACTTGAACGGTTTCGATTTTTGTTATCGAATGTTAACTTATCTAACCGTTACAGTTTACAATGGCATCGCACATTATTTCTATCAATGATATTCTGATAAAACATTTATTTGTCATTAAAGTTACAATATTTGCCCGTGTAGAGAACTTGTATAGGCCCGTTTAAAAAAGGGTCATGTTATACTTTGCCTTGGGCGGGCAAGTTGTCTGGTGGACAGCGTCCAATTTTGTAGGAGCGTATCTCCTACATGCATGGAAAAATGTTAATGAAAGTTCATAGGGACAGTTTTTCACTATCAGAAGCTGTGTCGCGTGCAAGAACCATGTCTTTAGGTTAACGGTCAAGGTCACACTTAAAGGTCATTTAAAACGCTTGACCGGAGCAAATCTTCTACATGAATAAATGGATTTTGTTCAGAGACTATCTCCTACACGCGTGGTTTGATTCTAGCGAAACCTAATAGAAATGTTAACTATTATAAGAAGAAGTGTCACGTGCTAGATAAAAGGTAAAGGTCACATGTAATTGAAAATGCTTGTTCAGAGCAAAACTTCCACATTCCTCGGGAGATTTTAATGTTACTTTGGACCACTTAGTAATCATTTATTTATGGATTGTGATACAGGTAATTTACTTAAATGTTAATATATGCTTAGGTAATAGTCACTAGATATGATTTGATATACAAATAATGTGTGGATATTGCCCAGAGCATATCACCTTTATGCATTTCTATAATGCCCAATATTGCCCTTGTTTTGGGGGGTTTCTTTTCTTATGTTGTGATCTCACTAGTGCGGTGTTGGGCAATAGCAGAAACTAATTATAAGTTTTTATATATGTTTAAACCGTTTCTAATTCTTATTTAATTTATTTATTGTTGTCGTATATTACTTCCTCTAATTAAATAGTATCGTAAATCCAAGTTCACAATTTTTCTCTGTGGGCTACATTTTCAATATTAAAAGCCTCAGATTAAGAATTACCTATACCATTGGTTTTTTCCAGAATTGGCAGTGGACTTTAGGCACAGTGGCTATCTTTTGGACGTGGACAGATCTGTTAAATTATTTTGAGAAATTCGACAGAGTTGGAATTTTTGTTTCTATGTTCAAAAGAATTATGAAAACGTTCATGATTAATATTTTCCCAATCGTTGGTATTTTAACAGTAGCATTTGCGTTAGCGTTTATGTGTGTTCGACAAAAGCAGGTTCTTTTTTATTATTATCATCATCATCATCATCATCATCATCGTCATCATCATCATCATCAATGGTTTTCATGTCCCTGTAAAAGAAATCAGTTATGAAACTATATGATCCCTTTGTGTAAGTATACAATATCTTAGCCTTTGCTTATGGCAGAGAAACAAAGCTAAGGTATACGTGTATAAAAACATTATAAAACATAATAAAAATTACTATGTACAAAAAAATCATTATAATGATGACATTGATAAAGAATTAACTTGCAGTTTACAATTTAACCAAATTGCAGATTCTTTTTCTGAATATTTAAATCAAATACACATTTGACCTGTATATCTCAATTTACTCTTGCCTGTTACATGTCAAACAAATCATATAGAATTCCAAAGAAATGAAATATTTATTTCTATATTGTTTTGTATTTTTTATTCTAGTATTTTTCATTGTTACAGGATCATTTCAAAAAGTTATTGATGACCTTATTGTCAACTTTGGCATTAATGGTAGATGGGTTCGAGTATGAAACGATGAGTGACGCTAATATTAATGTTATGACTATTACCAGCTATTTGACATCCATCCTCTTTTTAATCACAATGATCATTGTGATAATGAATCTTATGGTAAGATATATAAGCTCTTCGATTTAGAGAAAAGGCGAAGCAATTACCATGTCCCACTTGTCGGTTTTGATGCGGATTTGACTTATTTGTTTCAAACATGCTTTCTTTCACCGTGGAAAACGTTAGTGCTAACAAAGGGTTTTTTGATAATGAAAATATGTGGTTGCATCTTGATGCGTTCTACAGGTCACATTCATTTTCATGTCAAAAATCCAACGGTCATTAGCACTCAAAATTTGGCAAACAAAAATAACTGGCCTTTTGATGAGTTCAGCTTTAAGTGTGTCTGTAATTAAACTTTCGTGACTTCTTCTTTGGTCAAAACACAAAGACCGCAATAATGTTGTTAACTTTTTTGACCAGGTATTGGTTTAAGTCTAATTTGGCACGAAAATGGATCTTGTTGAGTAAATGTGTTTTTTTGTAAAAAGTCAAAGCAATCACCTTTATTTGTACATTATTAAAAAACTGTGTTGTTTATTATCCACTGGAGCATTCAACACTTCTGAAAGCCCTTTTCTTACTTTTGAAGCATCGGTATCAAGTAGGATTTTACTGTCAATAGACGTATATTGTTCGTTAACTGATATGATATTTTGAAGATTATATAATTATACACACATAGTTTGTAAGCTTACTTGGAATAAGAACATCATAATTGAATGATTGCTCCTGATATATCCTTCTTAAACGAAACGTTCGTTTTTACAATATCTGAATACTGCAAGTTTAACATTTATCTATCATAATTAAATGTACACGCATACACCGCAAATTGTCCCTTAACTATATTGGGTAAATATGTTTTAATAGATAAAAAAATATATAAATTAATAAATGCAGTATAAATAAATATAAACACGTGATGAGATTTTTCTTAGTCTACAAATTTTAATTGACATTCTATCATTTTAAATATTAGGTTGGTGTGGCGGTGAGAAATGTTCAAGATATTTACGTGAAAGCGATGGAGGAACATTCAACTTTACAGGTCTGTATATGTAAAATGTTACAATATTTAAATGACATCATTTAATTTCCAATTGTTAATATGCTGAGCTCTATTCTTTCTGGTTTTATCTAAAAGTATATTTTCTTATAAACTTTCAGTATTATAAATTTTCAGTTTTATAGGTTGTAATTTATCCATTGATGATGATAACTTAATTCTCTTATAAAGTACAAACAGAAAACATGTCATTTCTCAGTGAAAATGTGTTTTACTGATTATAGCTTTATTTCAGATTGAGCTCATTTTGGATTTAGAACATATATGTCAGCTTTTTCTCAATGCCCTCAAAAGATTTGGTTGTACAAAAAGATTAAGAAAATGGCTCAAGGTAAAATTCATCCAGGATCCAAAGATGGAAGTGCCCCTTGGACGCTTAACTCCCGAAGAATGATTAAATCGAAGAAATACGTAAAAAACAAGTACATTTAACTCTACTCTTTGCATTAACCATCACATAAATAAATGCAATTATATATTATATACCATATTTAAAAACAATACCAATATACCAATAGGTATTTTGTTAATTCGAATTTCAACCATCTATTTTCTTCAAAGGTAAGCCACGCATTGTAAGAACATTACTTAAAATATATCTTACTTCTTCTTTTTTCAGTAAAATTCGCAAAATTGACCTGACAGAGCTGGTGGAAAAGGCAACAGTATATATAGATGAACCTCTGTTTTCAAAGAAATAGCATTTATATACAGATATCCTCAATTAACAGAATCACCTTAAAGGAATAGTTATGTAGCGAACTGTATTTCTGAAAACTGTGCAATTATAGCAAACTAAATTTTAAAATGGATGCAAGCATGTATATAACCAGTATAATGTAATTGATAATGTAGATAATCAATATAAATATATTAACTGTGCAATTAGAACAGATTAAATTGTTAAATGGTTGAATGGTTGAAAGCATGAATATAACCATGTATGATGTTAATTGATAATAAAGATTATAAATGTAAAAGTTCAAACAGACACTGCTGACATGGCGTAGCATAGCATTTACCATGAATAATGTAACTGATGATGTAGATTATAAATATTTTTATTATTAAATGTTCTAACAAACATTGCTGACATGGAATAGCAAAGCAAAATTTTGATAGTATTGTGTATTTAATTGTGTTGTTCATGCCATAGCAGAATATGATAAAACATTTTATTTTACTATTTTATTTTATATAATTTAGTAACCTTAATTCGTTATGAAATCGAAATACCTTAATGAATTTTTACTATGAAGTAGTTATTCAAAATTTGCTGTTTTAATGTATGTTCGGAGCAGGGCGGGATTGTTTCTACTGTATCTTACCTGACCTGAAAAACTGTCATTAGACGGGATATATCTACTTATTTAGCGCACCAAACTTATTTTTCTGACTCAAAGGCAATTAATTTCTTCTTTAAAGTACATTTTCATAATAACTACTCGTTTTTAATCCGAAATGATTATCAATAGCTTTTCTGAGATTGGTTTTACTATATTTTTTGATTCCGTGTTAATCGCATTCAAATATCATTTTTAAAATAGCCTTTTTGTTTGTTTGCTTTTTAAACACATAGCATACTTTTGCTGTTAAGTTGCTTCTGTTTTCAAAATAATTGTACCAATTTTGTCAACTGCTTGAAAACAAAATTTTCTACTTTTTAAAAAAAAAATGTATCACGACTGGTGTAATAACAAGCATCATTTTATAATTTGAGATAGTTACAATTTAAAAGTGATATTATGTTCATTTTAAATCAACATTGTCATACTGAGCTGTATTAGCTTAAATATCTACTAAAAGATCGATTAATATATAAACGTACAACGGGGATTGACCAATATTTGATAATGACATAAGTAACAATCGATTTATAAAGACCTCCAAACAACTAAAATGCCTGCCAAACACTTTTTATTAAAAAACGTTCTCGAGTAATGTGGGTAATTGATTATTTTTTTAAGTATATTTACAAAGTGAATATAACTACATACTACAAAATATAAAGTGAATATAATTATAACTTCTTCCTGTACACTCTCCACTAACACTAGAAAACGCATAATGTCACTGTAATAATCAAGATTGAATGTTTCATCATATAAGACGAACGTGTGCAAATTTTACTCTCAAACAAACTAACAAACTAATAAAAGTATATAGCGCAAAACATGCGAGGAAAGGTTCCTTAATTATATTGGTTCTTAGTTATTTGCTTATGCTCTGTCTTTCTTTTCTCGTATTCGTATCATTTACCTGATTTTTGTGTGGGTGTGTTAAGGGATGTGTTGGTGCGTGCGTGCGTGTGCGTGTGTTGGTGAATGCGTGCGTACGTGTGTGCGTGTGTGCGTCTTTGCATGCGTGTGTATAAGTTTTATAAGGGTCCATCCGAGCAAATATTATGGGCTTATGTGGCTATGGGAACAATATGTAACAGTTACTATTCTTTGATCTTTTTCATTTCGTAACGTTTTGTGTTTGTTTGTTTGTTTTTTTTTTTGTTGTTGTTGTTGTTTTTTTTGTGAACAATAAAATAGTCACATTAAACCAAAACGTTAGAACGTCCGCTATTTCAGGCACTGAGAGTCCGGATCCCGGACAGGTCACCAATCATGCCTTTCTTTATTTTTATCTAAATATATATGTAAATTTATATATATGTAAATTATGTTAAAATTAATGACTATATAATTAAGTGACATGTAGGCCCAACGTGGCCTGGTGTTGTAAAAACAATATGTATCGTTATTATGTATGTACATAACACAATGTCACTATAATAAAATTTACTTATCTTATCTTATCTTTCTATTTTGTGACCAATAAGAGACTCATATATACCCCCAAAATTAGGCAAAGTCATGGCATTGATAATGTTTTATTACCTTTGAGCATATAAATCGAAAGTCAACGAGGGTTGTATCCCTAGCCGTTGTCATTTGTGGAAGATGTTATTACTTTTCATGTATAGATCAAATAAATCTGTGTTCTCCTTCAGACTGAGGATAGGCTTCCGGTAAAGTAGCTACTTCCAGAGAGTTTGAAACCATTCCGTACAATAGTAGTGAAAAGATTCGGGCAAATTATTGCACGGACGCACGAACACACGCTCGAACCAGTGACATTAGCATATTTCTCATCTGAGGATTATTAGGATAATCATCTCAGTTATAATATTATGACTTCCCGGTCATTTTATAATGACCGGGGTCATCAGCAATTGGATAGAAGTCTCTGCATGTTGCTTTTGATATCATATAGTGGGATTTGAATTTTATTCAAATCGGCGATATGATGACAACCTTAGCAGCTCGTGAATTAAATGTCGTTGATTAATGTAATTTTAGACGATATTTTCTAGCACCGGTACAAAAAAAGATATAGGAGTCCAATTAAGTTGACTTTGTCTATTCAGGAGCACCGTGTCAAATAATATAAAATGAGTTTGTAATCATGAACACTTTATCTGACTTAATATCTCATATCATTCTTTTCATTCTATTTTTGTTGCATTGAAAAATATTATTAATCAACTGATATATTGTGTAAAGAGGAATTGCTAATGCAAAACCCGATATGATACTTAAAGCTTGCAATCTAGTCTCAAATTATCTTAAAATACTACGTTTAATTTTTAATTGATCTACAAATTTACATAATTTTAGATATGAAATGTTTTATGATGTAAAAATATCCTCAACAACGACTTTAAAAGTACATTAAGCAAGATAAATTGGAACCATATATAAATTAATCAGGGTTTTGACAATGAATCTTCGCTTACGCTTATGCATTTGTATATAACTATGTATAATTGTGAGACAAGGGGTAGGATCTGTGTGAAAGATCTTATTTAAAGAGCTCATTTAGTAAAACAATTTATTTATTTAATGTTGTTTTTGTTGTTCTCAGACCACATGATGGAGTTTGACATGTTTTGTTGTCTTTATCATTTAGAGTAACATTGATGAATATTTAGATTAAACAAATACATAATGTCATTATGTTTAGGAATTGGTTTAAATAATATTAATACGTTTTCATAAAATTGTAAGAAAATATGAAATGTGTTCCTTGTTGTTGTTTGTGTTGTTGTTAAAATTTTACGGGGTTCGTTTTGTATATTTTTGTCTTGACAGTAATGTGATCTGTTAATGACATTGGAATAAAAAGCTACACCTTTACAGCACCACAAGCGTAACCAAATAGTTGTAAATGAGAGCGTTTGTCAACAAAAGTATCATTTATTGAATACTCCATGATATATTATTATTGACAATTCATCTGCATTATTTTCCAAACAGCCCTAAATCATTTAATAACGTTTCATGACTCTGTCCATTGTTTGACAATACGAAACTGATATGTCAGGGAAATATATATACCCATTATTGATCAATAAACTAGAGCTAATTTCCATCATCACATTGTCCAACGTTGTCAATGTCCTCGTGACGTGTATAATTCTTGTTTGTTGTGTGGACACGACACTCCCTTGCTGATTTTTACTCTTAAATTGAAAATATTATTCAGTGCAATTGTGAAAAATATTGATGAGATCGTATACAAATTGAGAGCACAAATAAAATGTGCAGTAATCTGATACAATGAACACATATTTATACGTAGCAAACATTATGGCAAAGTTCTAGAATAAAAATAAAAGGTATTATAATAATTTAACCGTAGGTTAAAATTTCCTAAAAATATAATAGGAAAATATATAAAATTATATCAATTGTTTGATTACACTTCTTTTGGTTTCATAGAAAAACAGGACGTTATTCTATTACAAGTAAATCGTATGATTTAATATAGTTTAAAGCTGATCCCAAGTTAAAATTAATACACCATTTTAAACTACAGTGACATCATCTTCCCTGTATTGCTCATAACTGTCAATCGTTTTGATATATATGCTTGAAATAAACCTAAATGTGCTTCTCAAACATCAAATTGTAAGAACGTGTACAATATAGAATGATTTGCATGCAATCCTTGTCTATAAATGTCAATCAATTAGGTATATGAGCCTGAAGACGAATAATAACTAGATGAGTTACTTGTTATTTACTTCAAGCAACAGAAAATGAAATATAACAATAACAATATTTGACATGCCGTACTAGCATGTTTCTTAACAATGATTGATAACTAAAAACCTTATTGAATTTAACATCTTACTTTTTTAGTTTTACAAACAAAAGAACATATAAATTAATATTAAGTATCAATTATTTACATTGTTTTGCTAACATTGATGTTTATTCGGATAAAAAATACGAAATATTTAGATTGTCAGTTTCTGGGGGAAAAATAGTGCACGAAAGTCAACGGCCAGAATCATAATAAAACATGAGTTTGAAAATTTCAGAAATATTTTTTCAAAAGAAAGTGGATACAATTTACAAACTAAGATCCTTAAAAGACACCTAAGTTAACATTTTATTAAAACTAAGACATTATGGATACTGGTTTTTGTACCGATATAATTATCAGATATTCAGCATAATAATTTTAATTACATCAAGTCTTATACTGGTGGTGGCAAGAGATTCATTTTATGCCAATAAAACAGAGCAAAATTTTGGTGTTCACTGTTTGTTAAATACTCAAAACATATTTTTTTTCCTAACAATTATGAATGTTTGATAATTCTCATAACGGATTAAGCATTGTATGGTTATTAGTCTAATGCTTTATACGCAATATGAGTTTCATGAAATGATGTCTACTCCCAAAAGTAAAAACAATATTATTTTTACAAGTTTGTATTATCTATCATTTACCTCATGAAACTTAAGAGACGCATATATTTACTATAAAGAAAGAGCATAGCTTTGAACATGCAGAATATATTCGTGTTGAAAACTATTCTAAAGCCATATATTTAAATTATGTGAATGAAGGCAACTATCATGCACCATTGTCTATGAAGGTAAACGTCGATCAATTAAGATGAATACGTCTGACGTAAACTTGTATTCTTAATTCTTATTTATTTAGATGATATTCAAAGGTACATATGTTTTACGATAAAAGTGGTGTCAATAACCCCAAAACTAAAAGTGCACAAAGGATATTGTCTGCTGTGGTAATTCAACACTCATCACAATATCTGATATAGCCGTAAGTAAATGACTGTGAATTGTCAAAATCACTTTATATCATGTAGACAGTTTTGGTAAACGTCTGTGTTATTAGAGAGTATGCTATATCATCAATACTTTGAATCTTACGTTTATCGGATTTGTGAAATAATAACATAGAGTTCGCTGTGTTATGCTTCTCCCATAGAAATAAAAAAAAAACTGGAAACCTTAAAGAACGCCTATAAAGGCAAAATTCATAGTTTTGCAGACTTGGTTTGATTAAGACTGGTTAACGACAGTTGAAGGAACTATAAAATACTGTCCAACCACTAGTACCAACTTAAGTCTATAAACATATTTACATCTTAAATGTCTACAAAGTCGACGAGTCGACTTGTTATTATTAAGGTTCTCAAAAATATATAAGATGTAGGAATTCCGCTTTACTCTATTATTTTGCATAAAAGAACAAAATCAAATGTCAATGGTCTTTGATATTTGAGATATTTGAGATGAAAGCCTGTGTTGTACTTAATACATCATTAATAATTCCAAGTTGTATCTAATTGGATAGGACAACATCTCTTGACAAGTCTGGTAGAGCTCATTTTCATTACCACGTTGGTCCACGTTGTCAATGTCGTCATGGCATGTATAAGTAGTTTAAGAGTTTCTCTCTATTGTTTTACTACGTTCTGTTAACGACACCCGCCCTTGTTGATTTTTTTCTCATATTAAAGATATTATTGAGTGGAACTCGTGTGAACTAAAATTTGCAGTAATCTGTTACAATGAACAAATATTTATTCCAAATATTCATACATTCAAACAACCGTTTACCTTTTATGTTAGTTAATAAATCAGTGTTAACAATAATATGATTTTACAGACATAAGATTAAATTCTACTAATTTTCACGTAAGATCATATGTGACATAGAAAACAATTATTTTTATATGTTTAATGTAGTTTCACTAAACATTATATTACAGTCTGACTGTATTACTAATAAACAAATTCGACAACTCTACTGAACAATTCTAGATGAATCTTACACAATTTATGTGCTTGCATTTAAAATGACTAACCTAAAATGCAAAAGACGATCACCAACAGTGTTTGCAACTGCACAGACAAACTCCATAATTATTTCTTATCACTCACTTTATTGTCCAAAAAAAAACCTTTCGTCTTCTTGTTTTTATATCCTTCTTTTAAATTAACAGGGAAAGCAAAGGGCAAAGCCTAAATAGTGCGCATCTTACAATTTTCAACTCGGAAGACAGTGAAACAAAAACAGGCCAATGCCTACCTCCATAACGCAAATATGTTTAGTGCAGTAAGCCCACTTATGTTCACGCGATGAAAATAATGTGGCGTGATGAAAATAATGTGAATGACCTTATTATAGAAGTACATCCTATATAGTTTTTGTTCAGCCAATAAAGAATTCATTACCATTATCTTATTTGATCGTATAAAATTTGCTCAGATGTATCGAAAACTCGATACGTCATCCTAATATTCAAAGGTATAGATGTCTGTGTTTGGAAAAAGCCTGTAACAAAGGTATTCACACATCAGAACAAAATTATTTTACATAATTCATAAGTTCTTAATTTATTTCTGAAATATAATAGTTCTTTGTTGTTTTTTTTTTTTAAGTATGAAAAGCCATATGTCATTTATGTGATTATAGGAATCAA